GTGCACAGTGACCTGTAACGCCGTCCAGAGGGGAGGAGTTCAAACAGATTGTGTCGAAGGTGTGAGGGGTCAGCAGTGATCATCTCCGCCCTCCTTTTGACCCGAGAGGTGTACAGGTCCTCCATGGAGGACAGGCTCACACCAATGACCTTTTCTACAGTCCTGACTGTCTGCTGAAGTCTGTACTTGTCCTGTTTGGTTGCTGAGCCAAACCAGTGATGGAGGCCCAGAGAACAAACAGGAGTCTTGTGGGTCCCAGGTTGGTTTAATTATATTCAACGAGGCTGAGAAAATCCTAGTAAACGTTTACTTTCTGTGTTTCGTTTGTTGTTATTCTGAGGTAGCGCAGCTGTCCAAGTGTATAGTTTCAACTTCAGGTGGACTATCTTATCTAGCGTTAACCAGAATATAATGTACCACGTTAGCAAGAATCTTAGCTGGCAGTGCAGCAAGGCTCAGTGGTTGGCTCTGGAGCAGAATGGTGTGTAAATCGGGTAAAGCTAGGTAAGTAGACTGAACAAATTGTAAACTGCAACTAATGTGTGGCTTATACCAGCTAAGTTGAAGTAAACTGGCATAGGAGGATAGGCTTGGTTAAAAATGCCTGATACATGCAGCAGGTTTGAGGGCCACTTCCTGTGTTAGCAGGAGCAAGCTAACATGAGGTTATATTAGAAGTTAGACTGGTATGTTAGTGATTAGCAACACAGGGTGGAATCTGATGCAGCACTAAAGGAAGCAGAAGTTTGGTTGGTAAATATTTTATGAGATATCTTAAATGTTGGATGGGTTATTTTGAAAAGTTTGGTGGCTAAGACAACATTTAAAGTTTTGGTGGTTGGACAGTTGAGTGGGCCTAGCTTCCAGATGTGATTGCCTCCCAAGCCAGTTGAGCCAGCCACTGCTTAACCTGAGCAAATACAATGACTGTGTATCAAGCCACATGTCTGCTCTTTGCTTGTATGAGGATGGGATTTAGGGGTGCTTTGCTTTAAGAGGGTAGGTTAGGATTGGAAATAGGTAGCACAGACAAATAAACACATAGTCAAAATCATTTTATCATTTTAGCACAGATGGTAAACAGATTTACCTTAAGTTCACTAGATAAGCCGTGCAGTCTTGTTCTGCTTTTGAGATGAACTTTTAAATATTGGAAAAAAGTTTAACTTTTAATTGGATTAAGCAACTTTGGTCCACTAGCCTACACCAGTGTTGTTGAATCATATCTCCTATTTTGTAGCACTAGGGTACACACTTCTCTAAAATCTCTAATTAGGCTTTGTAGTAGTAGTTATTCCTGCATTCCAGGCTCCCTGTGGGTTTCTATTCATTTTAATGGTGATTTGAAACCCAAATTTAAACTTTACCACAGTCAACCTGATAGAGCTTGCAAGAATATTTGTATGATAGTGAAACAATGCCCATCCTACAAATAGAAATATATAGATGCTATTTAGTTTAATATTTTGTGTGTGTGTGTGTGTGTGTGTGTGTGTGTGTGTATGTGGCTTTTATATACATTGCAAGTGTGAGAGGGGACCAAGCAGTCGAGAATGTGGACATTGTTCAGTACATGCTTGAGATTCCAGACTGTGAAAGAAGAAGCTTTATCTCAGGGAAAAGTGTCCACGACCAAAGGTCTCTGTTACAGTGAGCAGTTTGACAGTACCTGCTTTCATGATTGATTTGCTTGATTCAGTGGAAGACCCTCCATTTTTACAGTTTTGCTTTATCCCATTCTTATATTACAATAGCTTCAAACTACTACTGCTTTTATAAAGAAATACTGCTTTAAATACCAACATGGAAGTGTGAACTAGGGGAGTTCCTTTTGTTGTCAGGTTTCTCTCCTGACACTCCTTGTCATTACTTTAATATGGACCAAAGGTTTACAGAACAAACTGTAATCTAGTCTTTGTCTTTGTTTTCAGGATACAGCACCTGTGGCCTGCTGTTTGCAATGGAGTCAAGCGCGTGTTGCAGTCTCCTCCACAGCCCCGACTCCAGGCTGATCTGGACACATTCACTGAAGGCCATACACCCTGAACAGAACATAACTACATCCCAAACCAGTCATGGGAGACTGGGAAGACTGAGTCCTGCCAACCCGCTTCAAAACATTGAGGTAAGAGAATCATGCAGCTCTAACATGTTGGTATTAAAGCTCTTTAAATTCACTGTTGTAAAAACACATGCTTGTACAGAAGCACGTTGCATTCAAAGAAAAATCTTATGACTCAAGTTTGTATTTTTTTTTTTTTTTTGGTGAATGCAACCTGTGTCTGTTTGCTTGTACTTGTGGCTTAATCTCAGTTTCAGAGCCCTCTCTCTACTCGTGGTTAATGTCTGTCAGTCTCCCACCTGGAGGTTCATCTGTGCCTTAGACCTCTGTTGCTCAACACATTGCTGCACTGGGTGACAGGTTGCTTCATTAGGAAACACCAGACCTGACTTTTTGTTAAAAATGTTGCCACAACAGCTTTAAAAGTATTTTTAGTGTCTGTAGTGCATGGGAGGAGATAAACTAAACAGCAGAGAGCTCACACTGAGATCTCATGGCTGCGCATTCACTCTGTTAGTTCAGCCACTTGGAAGATGTAAGGTGCTTTGCCTTGACATCTCTGACCTTCATCCTGCCAGTGGGGATTTCCCATCCAACCCGAAATTGCGTCAGGGGGCCGCCCTGGGCTGCAGGATGGGAGAAAATGGTTTTAGTGAAAAAGTTTAAACCTTATTTCATTTCATTAATAAACAGTCAAACAGAAACTTGCCTGGCTCAATGCATGTCCTCACGAATACGGTTCAAGACAAAGTGATAGGTTGTTGAGTGGACACTATCCTAATGAGACAAAATTGGGGGGAAAGAAAATTTAAGTACTAAGATGTCATCTTACCACATGTTGAAGTCATCGCTGAAAGAGCCATCTGATTTTCTGAAACTGGCAGAAGAGGCAAGATTTGGTCCCTCTGCTGGTCAGACAGGTTCATCGCCTTCAAGCTTAAGAAACAAAACAGAACATTAACAATTCAAAGTGAAGGAATGTTAAATGCAACTTTTGACAAACTACCCACAATAAAAACTTGTTTAGTGTTCTGAATCATTTACACTGACAATTGTCTGGATGTCAAAATCTACCACATCAAGAATACATTTCTAAAAATCAAATGTCAATAGCAGGTAGCAAGACTAGAAGTTTATAGTAGTTGAAAAATAAATTAATATGGAACCACACCACTGTGGATATTTAAGCCATGTTACAATCTCATCTCATTTTCCATATATGAGGAGCTCTGTAGGTTTTGATCATATCACACAATCAAGTCAGAATTTAATCCATGAGAAATCCTGTAACGGTAGCTGAAAGCTCACCTTTATTCTACTGCTATTGCTCATGAAGAACAAAGACTAATCCTTCAGACAAAAACCGCCACCACACACTGCCTCCTAAAAATGCCCACACACCACAGCATGTGTGAAGAAGCAGAATATTTTAACTTTTAAATCTATGCATGAAATTGTACCATGGTTTTTACTGTTCTGGTCAACTTACCCCTCCACAGCTGAAGAGGCACAGCTAATCCTTGGACTTGGGTATTGGGTATTCTGAACTCAGCAGCAACAAGAGGAAGGGCTGTAGCATTGTTTTGTTCTTGAAGAGGAACATTTCCCATTGTTGGTGATTATCTTCAGGACCTGGGTCGTGTAGCGCTGTATTTAAAATAACCAAATAATAATCTTGGGCATGAAGATAAAAATGGAACCTAACCAACCAAAAGGTGGGTGTAGTACCCACGAGTGGACATAGGAATGTTGGTGTTACAGCCATCTTACCCCTGCTTTGCTGTGGATGCTCGGCATAACACAGCTGCAGTCTCAACTCTTGACTGGGTGTTTGACAGAACAGCCACGAAGCTGCAGACGTTCTGCTCTGTAGCAGGATTCGGTTCCTGTTGCAAATGCAATAAGGATTAAAATGCATGAAAAGTTATCACACATAAAAACCATTCATATCTAAAAAGAAACATGGCACTGAACTTTGCCAGAGGCACACAATGTGCCAACTTTCCATTTAGCTATGCCAACTCTCTTTTTGAAAAATAAAAAATAATAATAATCACCTTTATTTGAATGTTTGTTTTTTGTTTCCGGTACAGAACCGAGGCAGCCATCTGCAGCGCCAACTCACACCGATGGCTCTAACTATCGGGGGCAAGTTGACGGTTCAACTTGGGGCCACAGCCACAGCTCACATTCTTAAAACATGTTTCCATGTATTACTTATTGTTTGTGAATAATACAATTCATTCATGCTGTGGCTCAGGAGGTAGAGTGGGTCATCTCCTAACTGTAAAATGAACAGTTCAATTCCCGGCTAGTTCAGTCCACATGTGGAAGTGTCCGTGAACAAAACACTGAACCCCCAGCTGCTGCTGCTGGTGTGTGAATGGCCAAATAGTGTGAAAGCACTTTGAGTGTGCTGTCATGTGTAGAAAAGCGCTATACAAGTGTAAGACCATTCACCATATATGTAGAAAAGCCAAGGTGACTTTCAGGATTAGCATAGTGGCCATCTGATCCACCCACTCCACAACAGTGGTCCTCAGATTATTACTTCATGGCCAGAATGGTGGTCCCTGCTTTGACTGCACCAGACTGGATGTGGAAGAGCACAGATAGATGGATAGACAGCCTTACACACCAGAGTCTGTCTGACCTGCACCAAACAGGTCAGGTGTGTTTTGGACCTGCTTTGTTTGAGAAACTAATGAAAAGCACCTTCTCTCTCTGATCATAAGAAACTGGGCATATAACGTGCACAAATCCATTAGCTGTACACAAACATGCACATACACACACAATTCCACTCACACCACATATTCATAGTGAAACACTCACAAAACCACTTCTCCTGGTGTAATTATCAGCTCTCAGTAAACTTCAATCAGTCAGTCACAACCCATTAGGGAGATGGTGGACACACACACGCTCTCTCTCTCTCTTTCACACATACACACACACACAGAGTGCTCAGCAGCATTTGATTTAGATTTTTTTTTACTGACATTGCGAGACTCGACTCTCCTGTGTCTTCCTCCGTAGCATAAAATAAGATGGTGGGGGGGTGACTGTCAAAGGTAACCAGCCAACTTCCTTAGAAACCTTTTCTTATCTTAGTCATTTTTATCAGTCTCTTTTTGAGCTTTTGCTTCTTCTACCTGCTGGAAAGACCAAAAGAGCTGAAGCTGTGTTGTTCTCGTCTGTTAATCAACCACTTTCTATTTTTCTTACATTTGTAAATGTAACTTGTACGACGTGTTCCATTCTTTCTGCAAACTGCCCTCTTAGTGCCTCATAGTTTTTATCATCATTTCCTGTGCTTTTGTATGTTTTGTTTTGGGGTTGATCTGGCCAGTGAGTTGTGGAGTGATTGTAGTTTTATCTAACCAAAATTAACTAACACTTTTCAGACGTGGACTGCTAATGAATTTAATGACCTTCCAACCTTTACTCTAGTGTCAACAGCTGGGTGAAATGTCTACTTGTGCTTGAGATGCTTATTTACACAGACCCATAAATGCCTCCTTAAACTTACTGGTCACACTCTCCCTTTGTAGCATCATGCCAACATTTTAAATATGCTTGTACAGAATCAAACCAACAAAAGTGTCTTTATAATTTGAAGTTTATATTTAAGGTTTCATAAATGAATTAATAGATAGATAGTTTGGTAATTTCCTAAAACAGCTGGAAGAAAGAACAGGAAGGAATGCTTGTGTTGGAGACTACTTTTCTAGTGGATTAATCCACATTTGGTCTCCAGCGAGTACTAGTGGCAGCCTGAGTCAGAATAAACTCCACTGTGTGTGGTGGAGTTACAGAATCGAGTTTTGTGCACATGAGATTTGTGGACAATAAGAAAACACGGCCAAGCTAAAAACAAACATCATGATAAACTCTGAGGGAATTAAATGAAAACCCACTCGGATGGGTTCAGGCTGCAAATCTCAAAAGTAAAACAGAGAGAAAATTTTAAAACTTCCACCCACAATAAAATACATTTTCCAAACGCTTTTCATGACACCAGAGAGAAACTTTCACAGAGAGTCAGTTTCTTGGATGTGAGACAACAATGACAAATTATGAGGAGAATGAATCAAGGCATGGGGTCTGATATTTAAAGGCACTCATATTGAAAACGGTAACTTCTTTCATTGATAGGCATAATATTTACTGAGTAATATTCACAGAGCAGCACCTCAGTACTCAGCTCTGCTTATTAGGGCTGATATCCAGGCTTGGTGGGTGGTGGTCTGGCACCAGGACATATAGAGGTTGTGAAGGTAAACTCTGCTGCCACAGGAAATACAAATATGTCACTACAAGAGAAAACAGACTGTAGATTCGCCAGAGTGCACCTGGCTCAGTGAGTGTATCCTCAGTGCTGAATAAAAGCAGATGCTCAAACAGAAATCATTGGACACTTTTGTCTCTCAAAGGCATTTGCCTTTGCTTTGGTTCCTGCATGTTCCTTTTTGCTTTTGTCTCTCAGTGTTGCCTTTGCTTTGGTTCCTGCATGTTCTCTTTACCTTAACTCCACCACAGAAACTTCCTGCTCCAAACTGAGGAAGCTCACTTCCCATTGTAAAGAAACAAAAAAGGAATTATAGCAAAAATGCAACACCTGGGGTTTGAATTATAAATGTCTTCTCTCCTAAATCAGCAGAGCTTTCGTTGTGTCCGTTTCTGCACAGCTGTTGGTCCTCTGTCTATACTCAGAGCCTCTGGAGATTTTAATGAAAGCTACTCAAACTCAAAATGGACTTTTTAACAGTAAGGTTTGTTTGTTTTTCCACTTTTTATTGAAGCACTTGGTAGATCTGTGTCGCTTGAGATATGACTGACAAGTTCACTGATTAGGGACTTGGAGTTTTACTGGGATGTTCAGGGAAATTACAGAACAAATCTGTCTGTTGAATTATTGCTAAATGTGGTGAAGCTGCTCACCTGTACTTTTAGCTCAGGTTGTTTGTTAGATGGTTTTTAGGAATTAAATTTTTCTTGGGCATCATTTTCATCCACACGCTGAAAGTACTGAAATTTGCTGAACACATCAACATTGCTGCAGTGAAGTCTGTTTGGGTTGGAAACACAAGTTTTGACACCGAGATCTGGAGGAAAAACAGTTGGCTGAACAGAGACGATTTGTGAATAATGTATCTCAGTTGAAGAGTTCTGTCGGACTGACAGTCCAAAATCCAAAGACAAGCTGTTGATGTAAAACCAAGAAAAGCAGAAAATCCTCAGATTTGGGAGAAGTTTTGCTTGAAAAGTGACAAGCAATTAGTTGATTTTACACACAATTGTGTAATCACTGCTGGCTTAGCTAAAACCTTTGAACAATTAGTAAATGGATCTTTGAGCTGAGATTATTATATATGTCATACTCAAAGTTGAAAGTGATTTAACTTTGAGTGGAGGAGTAAGGTTTACAATCAAGTGGCAAAACACCCACGGTAGCACTGTCATTTACTCCATTTGGCCCCTCAAAACCACTGGGATCATATGACAACCACCCAGCCAAGTTACCATCATTATACACTCCTGCGTAAAATAAACACAGGAGCAGCAGTTTGCCGACTTTAAGATTAAAATGAAGACGGATCAAAACGCTGGCCGCGATCTGTGTAAACGGGCTAAACATGGTGAACAGAAAAATGATAAAAGACCATTGTCTCCTCTGAAGAAACGAGTCTGGCCTAGCTGGAGATGAACAGTGTTTATAATTCAACCAACCAACACATAAAAAACCTAGAATTACGTCTTTGCAGCTGCATGCCCTCTGCCAGCTGGCCAAACTCACAACGGGACAGACGTCAGGCCACTGTGACATCTGACCACCAAAAGCTAATCTGTTCATCTTCGAGTCTAAATGGATGTTTATGCCAAATGTGAAGAAATGCCTCAAGGCTTTCCTGAAATACTGTGTTCACAAAAATGGAACGGTTGGACGGTCATGGCTGTCGCTGGCACAGAGATGTAAAGATGCATAAAGGTCTGAGGCAGCATGTGGATTCTGATGAAAATACAAAGGAGGCATGCAGATGAATTTGTCATAACAGAATGGATTTGATCTGTGTTTGGCAGACTGGAGTCCACAATCAAACTGACGGGATTTGTCATTAAAACAGGAAGAAATGACAAAGCTAAAAAAGCCTCCAGAAACAGACTTGGAGGAAACTTCTAAAAAACACCAGCAAGCAGCAACAAATCCAAAGTTTCCTCTGAAGTGGATGTTTGATACCCTGCTCAGCCTTGAGCCCCATTTCTGGCCAGAAATGATAGTGCTGGTCTTCTTTGTACTCTTTTCTTACATTCAAAGAAAAGATTAGAAGCTACAAAATGACACTTGCATAGCCCGACCTCCCCTCAGTTACTGAACACCAGGTGTTTCATCCTAGCATGTTAAATGTGCAGGTCATGGCAGAGTTACCATCAAAACTCAGTCATTTTTGAATCAGCTCTATAAAATTGTTTAACAGTGGTAAACAACAACAGCTCCTTATTCTTTTCATCAGATGCAATGACTGTCACTGGATCAGGAAACTGGTCTGGACCAAAATGCAAATGTGATTTTATTACTTTTATTGAAATGTTTGTTCTGCTGCTCCAACACCTGAATTTTCCCTACGGGGAATCAATAAAGTTTTATTATTATTGTTTTTATTATTATTATTTCTACCTCTGGCAGTAATACATCAGCATGTATACTGAAATTGCAGCTACTAACAGATCTGTGGTCTGCCTCCTTATAGAAGCACCTACGGTTTGCCATGATTGAAAGTTGTCCCCGATGTCAGATCTGATCAATGAAATTGATGATGTAAAGTCAACGATTCAGTCTCCATCTGTCTAAAACTCCACTGTAATCTGTCAGACTGACTGACAAAGTACACAACGTTAAAAGCAACACACTTAACTGCCACCTTGTCCTCCTCCAAGGTCAGCCACACCCAGCACCATGCCAGCCACCCACCTCCTGCCTTCACGCTGACATTCAGCTCTGTGGAGACCTGTCTGGAAGGTCAACAGAGCGGGCCGGAACGGCTGGGGTCACCCCTCATGGCTCTTCACCTGCCCGGGCTGAGCTCTGGATGATGCATGGCCCCCATCACTGCTGGTTATGAATTAGCATCATTATTGCAATGATGATGATGACAAAGGGTTATGATCATGATGCCTGTTACCTTGGAAATGGAGTTAGAGGGGAAATGTCACGCTGTGACAGAGAGGTGCAACATGCCTCCTGTTTTTATTGCATTTGTCAGGTGTTAGAGGTGAAAAGTTGTTTAGGAAGAACATTATTAGTGCAGGAGAGGAGCAGGTGGAAGAAAAGGAGAGAAGACTCGAACAAGAAAAGCAGGATCGTGAGGAGAGGAACAGAGTGAGGACAAAATGAGACAGGAACAGACAGGGTAACAAGAAGTGAGCTGGAGACAGAATAGAAGAAAAAAGGGAGGAGATGGTGCAGTAGAGAAGGACAAAGGACAGAACAGGGGAGAGGAGCCAAGAGAGGAAAGGTGATGAGATGACAGGATAGAAGAAGAAAAAGAAAGTGAAAAGGAGCAGATCAGAAAAAAAGATTAAATAGGAGATGAGAGAAGAGGGAAGAAGAGTGAAAGTGAAGAGATGAGGATGAAAATTGGACAAGGGAGGAGAAGGACATAGGACAGGTGAGACTGAGAGGTGAGGAGAGGAGTGGAGGGTTGGCAGGGAGGAATAGGAGAATAAAAACAAGAGAAGAGGGAAAGATGGGTAGAAGAGAGGAAGAGAGAATTAAAGGGGATGGGAGTAAAAATGAGAGGAGTGGAGGACAGAAGGAGAAGGGAGGAATGAGATGAGAAGAGCAAAGTGAGTGAGTGTTTTGGAAGAATGAGAGGGCAGAAGAGAGGAAATGAGAAAAAAAAGTGCAAGAGGAGGGGAAAAGGACAGAAGAATGATGAAGAGGAACACTGAAGATGAGAGGAGAGTAATGATAAAGAATAGGAGGAAAGGAGAAAATATGAGAAGGAAGAGGAGATGAAATGGAATGAGACCAGAAAGATCCTGCCGGTCTCATTGCCACTGAATTATCATTGGAATCTTTATTGCTGCCTGACATCCTCTACCCTGTCCTCTCCGGTCTCCTCCATGGCTTCTTTCTTTTGCACTCCTCTGCTCTGTTCCCCCTCTTCACTTTTGGCCATTCTTCCTCCTCCTTATTCCTTATTTTTCATGTTTTTTTCCCACATCTCATCTCCCTTTTCTTTCTTTCCTGCTCACTCCTCTCCTCTCATACTCATTCTCTTCTCTGTAAGTCAAAATATAACAGTTTCTTTTCTTTGCCTTTTGCTTCACTGCTGCATCCCTTCTCACTCAGCAAATGCCTCCTCACATCACCTAGCACCTCCCTGCCCCATGCTGTGCTTCCCCAGAGCTGCTCTTGACAGGTCTTGTCCACCTGCAGTTTCCTCCACTGAGCTGAACCATGATACCGAGCTGCCTCTTTGGCCAGAAACACCAGGCCACCTGACAGCTGCTTGGGCCTGAGGAGGAGGAGGACGTCGAGGAGAGGCAAGAGGAGGCAAGAGCTGATGGACAGACTGAGGACACAAGGAGAAAGGAAAAAAGAAAAAGGAGGGGGATTCAGGGAAATATAGAAGGAGAGAGGCACCAAAGCAAGACAGGGGGATTTAAGAGGTGTGAGGAGACAAGTGGGGATAAAAAAGTGGTTGATGACAGCACAAGAAAGAAGCAGAGAGAAGGCTAGCAATGAAAGAAGTGAGAAAACCAGTGAGAAACTGGGAATAATATTCAATAGGGGAAACGCAATCTAGAAAAAAATACAGACAGAGGGAGAAGGAAAAGAAGGAAAAGGATGTGACAAATTACGAAAAATAGAAGAAAGAAAGGAAATACACAGGTTTCCTCCCACAGTCCAAAGACATGCCGCTTAGGTTGAGTGGCGACTCTAAATTAGACATTATACAGAAGGACATCCAAAGTAAAAATATGCCAAGTTTAACGTGCACATCGGCACTTCAGTGGGAACCAACGAATCGCTGTGGCAACCCCTAAGAGGAACATCCGAAAGTAGACGAAGAAGAAGAAGATAGAAAGGAAAGAAAGAAAAAAGGTGTGCAGTGGATGGAGAGACGTAAGGAAAAAAGATATGAAACTGGGAAGGAGAAATTTAAAAAACAAAAAGGAAGTAGGAGGAGGTGAAGAGGAAGTGAGAAAGGCAAGGAAGGAGGGGATCCCCACAGAGGCCGAAGAGTATCAGCCAGAGATGAGAGGAGTCAGTAAGGTGTCCATCCATGCAGGGACAGAAGAGAGAAGGAAGGATGAAGAAGGAAGTTCATCCATGTGGGATTGAGGGGGAGGGGTGGGTATCATCTGTCACAATCACCCGCTCCTCCCGTCGAGTGATTGATACAAGTGCTGCCTCTGGAGGCCCCGAGGGGAACCCCCCACCTCACTCCATCTATCCATTCATCCGTCCGTCCATCCACCCCCTGCTCTGTTTTCATTCCTCAGCAGGCTCCTCAGTGGCCTGCCCCGGGGCCGACAGTGATGGAGAGAGGCCGCGAACATCAGAGACACCAGGGAGGAGGAGGAGGAAGAGGAGGAGGAGGGTGAGGGTCCGGTACTGTCTGAGGCTGCAGAAGTGGACCCCTTCTCTTAGTGCGTTCACTGTCCATCCTGAACTGACAAAGGACTGGCAATGTATGCTGTAATTAAAAAATATCATTACTGTTGTAAGGGTCTTTTTTGTTGCATTCTGGCCTTTGATAGAAATATACTGTCCATCATTAAAATGGTATTATTGTGAAACACTAGGCATGATGGTTGTGTTTTCACATGTTTCACCAATAATAACATTTTTAAGAAATGTGAGGTACTGAAGAAGGTAATACATTTAAAAAGCTTTAAATATCTTGGTTATTCAATCATAGTTCCTGTTAAAAAAGAAGCCTGCATGTTCAGCCATCAGCTCGAGTACAATATACAGGCTAATACAGAATAAATCATGACAGCTTCGAACTGTAAATACAAGCAGGAACCACAGTTAGCACTTGGCGGTTGTATACTTCCACCACCCAGTCAAATTCGTAGGAATGGACTGGACATGAGGTAACACTGACCTTTCACTACTGACCACCAAAATCTAGAATCAAATCAAATTCCCTCAAGACATTCCTGAAATATTGTGTTCACAAGAACAAGCCGATGGACAGACAGGCAACACAAACACAAGCTGTCACCAGGGCTGAGACATTAAAATGGGCAATCTGGTTACAAAGTCAGATAAAATCCATTGCTGACACTAAGCCACTTCAGCCAGTTACAAAGATGCTGAGTTTTGCCTTGATAACATGTAACTTGATAGAACATCAAATTAAAGATGCATCGTCATTGATATAGTTTGACTACAGGGCAGAAACATTACATTTGAACCTGTCGCATGAGTTTTCTATTTTACATAGATGCCATGAACAACACGCAGAGATCAGTTTGTAGACACGTCATTCATGGACATCAAACTTTGTTTTGCAGTAGCAGAAGAAATATCTGCTCTCATGTTTGTTCCATTAACTGCATAAAGACATTACTGTAATGGACAGGTTGCATTAATGATCCTGGGGCTGATCTTCATCCCTTTGAACAGCCCTGAGTGTGACTCTGCAGGATGGAGCAGGTTCAAGTGAGGGTCATGTTTTAGCAGCAGCAGCAGCCATTACTCTCTCTAAGTGCGAATTTGCATGAACCTGCCGAGGTCAAGTTTGTTAGCTGCTGTTAACGCTGCCGACCTGCCTCCTCCCCGCCACCACTTCACCGCTGTGAGAAAGGGAGCTTTTGTTCGTCATTTCAGAGGAAAGAAGGAAGGGAAAAGGCACATAACTGCAGGCGCTGGGTGAAATGTTAAAATGGAGATTAGCCTGGCCGCCGCAGATCTCGCTTATACTGATTAAACATCACGCCTTGCATTTCAATAGGAATACTCGTGGCTAGGAGCACCCTGATAAGGTCCCGGTTTAATCCACACACACACATGCAACACAGAGGGAAGAAAGGACATGCTCTTTCAGCAACACGTCAGTTGTTCTACCATGGGGCTCAGTGCCTGTGACAGCAGGGAGCCCAGCTAACATCCAGCTGGACTGAACCCCCCCCCTTCCTGTACCAGAATGTACATTTACCATGAGTCATAGATTCATCAAGAAGCAGAAGGAAAACAAAAAGTGGAATTCAACATAAACGTGACAAGAACATTTACAACACTATCTTTAATATATACTATGTCTTTGTGTCCACTAAAAAGGGCTCACCCCCACCAAAAAAGACCTAAACTGATTATGGTATCATTATTCTTAGAAAAAATAAATAATAATAGAAATCAGATCTGCAGTTTATAATCACATCAATGGGATTAATGGGAGGATTACAAACGGTATAAGCGACAATATATTGACTAAAATGTCTGCTGTGTTAATCATACAGACCCTGGATTATAGACATGCACCTGCCTTTGTCTGTGCAATCTTTTGTGACAAAGCGGGTGAGAACACTTCATTTGTCCCCAACTGTTTTATTTTATTTTAATTTATTTTTATTTGCCACTTATGCATAAACAGACATTCTCTAGGCATATAGGAATTCTTGTGCAGCTCTCCTTTGGAGTTAGGTAAGGAGTCAAAGGCCAGAAAGAACATTTAGTCTTAAAATAAAAAGTTACATAACGGCAACAAAGCAATAAAGTGTAATACACAAAAATAGGGTAATCGTATTTTCCCTGAGGCAGGGAAGAATCTGTTGTAAAGTCTTGTTCTGTGTGTGATGAGCCAACAACTTCCTCGTTTTATACGCTCCCTGATGTCATTAGTGATGTCATTGGGTGAACCAAGTAGGGAGGTGGGGATTATTATAGCTAAGTTAGTTTTGTGTGTTGATTAATAATTTGTAAGTTTGGTTTGAGAATTGCATGTATGTCTGAAAGGTCTGTGATTCTGTTAAATGTTTACTGATAAAGGTAA